AAATTGTTGAAAAATATAACCTTGTCATATTTAAGTGCCTTTATTTTAAACTTAATTGCCTTTATTTTAAACTTGTTGTTTTTTTTTAAATTATGTTAAATTGTCTCATCTAAGGTTTGTGCTTTTGTATTTATGTACAGCACTCTGTATAAGTCGCAGTTCTTCAAGTTGTATATAGTGTCAATAAAATTCAGTTGAGCTGGGTATAGAAAATGTTGGTTCAATTCCTTTGTTTGCGTTTTGTGGCTGTGGACTTTGGCCTCTTCTCGCACAATATCAATATTGCTTTGCGGCCATCTTGTGGCATCGTGTTACCAAGGAACTGTGTCGGAGTTTCTCACCAAGTCAAAGCCCGCCATCAAGTCTGGGAAGTCTCTCTGCAGCTTCATTGCTTTTTCCACTACTGCCATCAACGCAGATGCATCTATCGTCCTTCAACATAAGCCGCAGTTAGTGTTTACTTGCTTTATCATGATTGAAAAAAGCAAGATTCCAAAGGGTACCTGTGGACAACGAAGATGAATCTGCTTCCAAAGAAATCCGGGTGGTCGGCTATAAATTGTCTGGTGACATCCCCGTAGGTTTTCAGAGCCCAAGCTGAGTCGTGAATACTGCCGTCCAGCTCGTAGACCTGAGTGCAGTCAATATGTTCTCAAGAAATGGCATGTCTCCAAAATGTTCAATGTCGTCAGAAAAACATCCTACCTCCAAAAGTAAAGCGCGTACTTCCACATACATGACGCTATCCTTGTAGAATTGGGTGAGGCTGTGGTAGTAATAGTCTCTGAACACGGGAGCATATGTGAGCAGACCCATCACGGCCCTGAAGTTCAGATCAAACTTCTCCCAAACCACAACCTGGTTGGGATACAAGGCCTCATGATCACCATCAGTGAAGAGTGTCAGGTTGGCCAGGATGCTGTAAACACAAATCGACTCTCAGGCCATGTAATACGATATGCACAAAAGTTTTGAAAAGGGGCCAAACTGGCAGGACAGGTTGAAAACAGCAATGTGAGGCAGAGTGATCAACTGTACTGCATCATCCATCCATCCATTTTCCATACCGCTTATCCTGTTCAGGGACACGGAGGTTGAAACAGTCACCGAGTGGGAACTGAACTTATGGCTGCTGTACCAAAGTCAGGCAAGTGTGTGATACTTTGGTCATCTCAGTTACAATACATGAGAAAGTGTACATCATAAGCGCTGATTATTTCTAAAATCTCATGGCACAAATAAACATATACCGGTAATCCATATTCACATTCACAACTGACAATTTAAAGTTATCAATACTTTAAAGTGCATCTTTTTGGAATGTGGGAGGAAGCCGGATTATCCTGAGGATACCCGCACACAGCGCGGGGAGAATGTGAAAACTCGACACAGGAAGGCTGTAGCAAGATTTGAAGCCAAAACCTCAGAACTGTGGGGCAAACATGCTAACCACTAGTCTGTCACTACAAACTACAACAAACCTATACTGTACTTCTGTCATGTCATATAAAATTACGTACAAGTACCGATATCGGATATTGCTCAGATTGCGTACCTAATGATCATATTTCATAAAACCTTACCTGTTGTCTAGATCTGTGACGTTGACCAGTTTGTTTCTGAGTGTTTCCATTAGGATCCACGGAGAGCAGTTAGGCACACTCTTAGGCTGCCCCGATGAGAAGATGAAGCTGACCGACCATTTGTCAGTGACGCACATGTAGCAGTTCGGCCGATACGTCACATTCTTCACAAGCCACTCGGGGTCCCCCATGGCAAGGTCATGGACATGCAGGGCTCCACCTGAAACAGAACCTCAATTACAGGTGTGCCCTTTTTTTGAGGAGGAGTCATCTCAAAATATATGATTAAATCAACATCTTCAAAAATTATTCATTCACTTGTTCATATATCGGTTGGCACAGAAGTGGCCCAGTGAAGGTTGGGAAACACTGAATTAAATGAATAACCTTTGGGCATTTTCTGCAGCAGGTGAAAGATGGGACTGCGCTCGATTAAGGGTTTGGCCTTGAAGAAGTGCAGGGCAGGAGGGAATTGCTCTTTAGCCATCTCATCCTGCTTCATTTGGTACAGCCGAGCATCCAAGAGCTTTTCCAAGTCTGTTAGCACCATTTGCCCCCCTGTCTGCTGGGAGGCCTCCAGCTCAATGAGAGACTCCCTCAACTGGGGATTCGGCATGGACAGGACACCTGCTGCATGCCAAAACAGCAGACAGGCGACCGCCGCGAGGGAGCGCTGTAACTCAGCCACCATAATCCACTGGCAAACCACAGACAACTGATGACCTTAAACACAAAGGAACAGTTTATTAAACTCTTTAAACGTCTCTGTGGATGAAGAAAACATGTTTTGTTGTTTAACGTATCGCCTAAAATTAGAGCATTAGGGCTGATCCAGCTACCAAAAGTAGTGCATTCATGTCAAATCACCGGTACTATGCGTAAATCTTAACACTATGTCGACGGGATCTCATACATAAAACGATCATTGTGAGGTAACGTATCAGCGAATAGCTTCAAAATGAAAGTAAAAACAAAATGTTAAGACAAAGCCAAATAAAAGCTGAGACGTAAACGCTTCTTTGCATTTTTAAACAAAGGATAGACGTTGTCGACGTCAACGGATATCGCCCCAATGTGGATTTATGAAACGCGACAAATTACCTTACAACGGCAGCCAATGAATACACCGACGAGCAGAACCCGCAAGACGTTCCAGACTACCAGGTCCTCTGTCAACCCCGACTCGCGGTCCTGTCAGAAGCAGCTCTCCTAAATTCATAAGCCCCGCCTCTTTCAACATAAATTGGCTCGCGTATCACGTAAACAAAATTCTTATGGACAAAACTGAACGGGGGAAATGCAACATTGTACGGTCGGGAGGTTTTTATTTTTTAGATTTGTTGATTTGGTATTTGTCGAACACTTCAACAATGGTTTCTTGGACATCAACTTACTTTACTGTAAGGGTAATAAAATTCACAATCAGGTTGCATTTGTCCCCACCTAACCCAGAAACACGGATATCTAAAAAAATCTCCTTTCAGGGACGGCCGTTACTACAGTGGACAGCCTATCATGTTATCATCAGGTTACAGGGTGCAGGTTCATTTCGCAGCTTTGCAATGTTAAAACATGACAAAAATTAAAGTGACCAAAACATGGGGAATTTAGAAACAAAATAGCATTTTTAAAATTCAATTCATGACCAACAGGGCTGTTTGTTAAACCCATGCTGGCCCAGGGAGAACATGCAAACTCCACACAGGAAGGCCGGAGCCGGGATCAAACCCATGACCTGTGAGGTCACAAAGCACTGGACCACCGGGCTGCCCTCAACCTAACTTTGATAATGTAATTCTAGGTGAAGTAATTTATAATTATATTACATAGGGGGCACCACCACCACAAGCAGTTGCCTTGTTTTGCCACCGGTTTTCTTGAATCCACGAAGGAGACAAACTTAAGTTCCTCAACATGACTACAGCATGTGTAACACCTGCCATACAGCTACTACCTTCACTTGAGGGAATACGAGCAGCTGTTTGGGATTTTGCTTGCACGTCTGATGGAAAGAATTGGTGGTAGGCTCACAAAGGGCGGTCTCTCTGAGGCAACAAAGTGCAACGTGCTTTAAAATGCACGCACTTTGAGCTTAGGTCGTTTTATTCGGTTAGTTCACCAAGACGACACTAGATTCTACACACTGTACCTTTAACTACCAAACTTCCACACTAGCAAATTCATGACTAAATTGTGAAATTTTCAGCTGAGTAAATACTGTAAATTTTTCCCCCGCGTTGTTTGGTGATGGTGTGCTGTTAAATTTTGTGTGTGTATTGTCTTTGGCATAATGTTGGGCAACATAAGAGTAACCATAATAATTAAGGTGATACGGTGAGTGCCATGGACTAATGCATCGTCTCTCTCGTTTTGACATTTTGTATGTAAATTAATATCGGGTGGCTCAATACTAAAGAGATATTGGCAGTACTGAAACAAAATGAATTGACTGCTCCATCAAGGATAGTATATTTTTGAGATTGCAACAAAACACTTCAAATTGAGGAAAGCTGTTTATTTCTAAGAAATGTACAGATAGAAAATACTCCAGTCCATTTCCCACTCTGTCATTCAAGTAAAAAAAACAAAAGAAAACAAACAAACAAAAAAAGCTGTAAACATCATTCAAAATTAAACAGACAGGTAATTTTTCACAACACAAAAAAAAAGCACATTTATATTAAAACAAGCACAAAAATATGGAAAATAGCAAATAAATATATTTCTCATCTACATGGTTTTCACTAATAAATGAAAGGACTTGCATGCAGGCACACACAAGCCCACAGATAGCATCAATTCTGCACAACAGACACACACGAGCACACACTCACATATTGTACACTTAAGACACCACCACCCACTTCACATACAGTAGGCTTTGTTACAGTTATTTTCAGATCTAATTGCAGAAGTGAAGACACTAACTCCAAACCCCACAGTATTCCCATTAGAGATCCACTACAGGGAGACAATTCGTAATTTTAACCAAATCCCAAGTTATAACTTCTGGAGGCTGCTATTTTTTTTTTTTTTCCAGTAATGCTATGTCATCAAAACATTAAACTTAGGTAGCTTTTGCTATAAATGTTGTACTGCCTGCACATTGTCAAACTTGTATTGTCACATAAAAATGTGCAAATACATCAACACCATGTACGGTACAAGTACGTAGTGTTGATGTAAAGCTATCATTTAGCATGTTTCAATGAGAATAATATGTCACGATTGGTAGGTCAGTGAGCACAGCATCATTTGTCATTTGGCACAGCATCACAACTTTTACGCAAGATGCTAATGCCAACATTTGATGAGTTAGTAACCCTAAATTAGAAGTGACGGACTTCAAGGACCCCGAAGAATCCACATATTGGCTCATTGAGGTAGACTGACTTGCTGCCAGACACAGGGAAAAAAACAAAGGTGGTGGCTCACAGGGGTGTGTGTGTGTGTGTGTGTGTGTGTATATATATATATATATATATATATATATGAGATCAAATACTCCCTAAATGAATTAAGCCAGTGTGATATCAAATAAACCCGAATGAGTAAAAAGCAATTTAAATTCACTTGCAGTGACTTCATGAAAACAGGCTATTTGAAAGTGAAACTCCGCACATGAAACTGAGATCAGTTTACCACAATCTTATCGGAATTGTTTCCTTAAACTGTACCCCTTTCAAAACAATGGAGAAAAATACCCGTACAAAGTGTGATCCCTGAGAAGAGGAAGCGAATTGCAGAAGCAAATGCAGAGGGACAAGACTGATCTTCACATCGAGACTGAGTGGAACGTCAAATCTCTTAACATATAACAGGCAGGACATGACTCTTGAAAATGTTCCCTTCACTACAGATGAATCTATTCAACGAAGGGGTGGCGCCAATAGATTTGAATTTATTTATACATGTACAAGTATTTACTAAAAATAAAGACTTTCCAAGGCCACTCGGTTTCAGGTGGTTTATTCTTTAACAAAACGTAGTGCAGAATGGAGCCGGGTACAAATTGAAACAACCAGCATTATCTTCACCAGTCCATAAAGTTTTGCTAAAGCCAACGTTACCAGTGAAGGATGTTCTAATGTAGTGTATTTTGTTGAGGATTGACAAAACTCAGCGTCTCGGTCGAAATGGATAGGAAGTGGATAGAAATAATTAGAATAGGTATTTATCCATATTCTTTCCCTCTCATTCACAGCTACTGTGCTCATCTAAGCACTCACTCATACATTCAAAGAAGCAACCAAGACGACCACAATTGTAAATTGTCTTGGTCAAGGAGACAGTCTCACTGTAACCTCTGCTTCTTTCTTTACAGTACCTGAGTTTTAAGAATTTGAGTCAGTAGATAACGGCACAATGATAAAAAGGCTTGCCCCTCCGTGTGCATATTTCGATTGTTCACAGTGGAAAGGGCAGTCCAGTGGTAAAAGTCAGTTTCGTGGAACATCCAAGTTTATTTGGACAACGGTTTCTTCACAACAATACTTGTAAAGGGCTGCAATCTAAGCACTTTTGTTCACACGGCCTCAGAACAATTTAGTATTAGGATTTTTCTGGCAGGACTTTCAAGTCCAATGAAAACTGGAAGCCAGGGTAACAAAATTGAACAGGTCGCCGTACACTGTATGGTGAAAATCTTGCCCTCTGAACCCTTTGCCAGGTCGGTCAGCACAGCCAGCCACCTTCTGGTTTGGTCTATCATGCCTGAAAGGGGTTAGAAGAAAAAATAAGGTTTGTCAGGCTAAATACATGTATGTTAATTGTGGCGGAAGAAGTACATGGGTCAATATCACAAAGTGCCTCATCAGAATCACAGTCATGAAAATGTGTATCTGTAGCTGTCTTGTATGTTTGTTATAATGGACAAACATACAAGTACAATGATAAGTCTCTGAAAATGTTTCCTTCATTTTAGACCAATTTGTTTGGATGCAAGTGATTTTTGCACGGCCTATAAACTTCTTTACCAACTACACAGTGGAGGTAAAGTGCGACTAAATTATTTTTATATTGTTTTATTATCTACAAGTGATCATGTATAGTCTTTCCTAATCATTTTACACTTGACTCTAAAATGTCTGTCCACCCCATCATCGAAGAATAACTGCCCCTTTCTCCCTGGTTTCATTGGCATTACATCCAGTAGTGTCATTTTTCCAATGGAGGCTGAAAGGGTGGACAGTTGCAGAATACGTTTTTACACTTACATTCTTTAATTTTCGTCATGTGCACTATAAATATTCTGAATCATGCTGCCGAGTGAGGGTACAATGTACACTGTAACAGGAGAACCACATCACCCGCTGTGATGATCCAATGCAGTTCACACTTACTTGCTTGGTGCTTGAGCCGCCAGGTGCAGTCATCACCGGTTGCCTGTGACACATCGTGCATGACATAACTTGTTAGACTTCAACTGGTCATTTAGTTAGCATTAATCACAGTTAAAACTTGTAGAGTCTGATAAAGTCTTAAAACGGAGGTTATCAGGTTGGTCGTCTGTCACAAGTAAAACTAGAAGGGCCTCTCAAAATTTGCTTTTTAATGACAAAAAAAAAAACTTTTTTACCCTGAGTGTGGGAAGTGTTCAGATGCCAAGCCTCTCTGCTGAATCATCACGCTTTGAAAGTGGCCACCAGAGTGAGGGTACATGGCCATGCGCATCTGACCAGGGGAGATAGGCAACTGCTGGGGCCGCTGAAGAGCTTCCATTAGGTGTGAGTGTGGTCTCTGTACACCGTATCGTCCTGGATCTGTGTAGGGAGGTCTTGCGTATAGGACTCCATTCCCAACTCCACTGTGGCATGGTGGTGCACCATCTGGATGCACTGCCGGGTGCATAGTGCGAGTGTCATACATGAAGCCAGGTGGGATGTGTGTCCTGGTGGAGATTGGGTGGTTGTTATGACGGCGGGCGGCGGCATTGTGGCTATCGAGGTCCAGGATCTCTTTTGGACTTTCAGGTTGCTCCAAGCTCCCCTTAGTGCGACTACGCTTTGCTGGGCTATCACGACCACTGTTTCTGCTTTCCCATTTCCTCTCCTCCAAGCCTCCAGAGACTGACCCAGCTTTTGGGGACAACAAACTCACAGTAGTGGAGAGATCACAGCCTATTGGTGACACACACCCATCATTGACCTGATTGTTTCCTTTGGCACTCAGTGTGGGCAGGTAGGTAGTAGGCAGCATGGGCTGTTGAGATTGCTGCCAAACATCTGAGGGATAACCCCCTCTATTGTTTGCAAAACTATGGGCCTGCGGTCGGGTGTAATACTGTTCCTGCTGGAATGGCTGTGGCGGGTACGTGTTGGTGTGGGCATGAAGATGCTGAGGGCCGGGCATGTGAAATGAATAGGCAGTTCTTTGTTGCTGGTGATAGGTGGAGTGGTCCGGGGTACTGTGGAGGGGGTTGAGGGTCTGGTTGGGATAAGGGTGGTGAGCAGAATGACAAATGGGCCTGGTCATGCTTGCCTGGCTATACTGTGGTTGTGGTGGATTGCTGTATGAAGCCATGTCTCCATTTACCATTTGGGAATGAGGAGGCATGGCAGTGTTGTGAGCAGGTGCTGGGCCTCTTTCTGACTGCACACCTGGGTTACTACTCACCATCTGGGTTCGATGACTGTTTGGACTGAACGCTTGCTGTTGTTTATAAGCAGTATTAGAAGATCCAAATTTCATTGCAGGTGGACCTTCTGTGTCTCGCTGACTTGCAGGCTCGCATGGTGTTTGAGCTCCATGCTCTGCTGGGCTTGGCTGGGAGGGTAAGTGTGGAGTAGGATGGCTGGGGGGCAGAGAGGTGAGAGGGGCTGGCTGAGGAGGTCCAGGTTGGACTCTCTTTGAGGCACCATGTGACATGCCATGCATAGAGTTGCTCTGAGTGCTTTGGGTGACATGTGGAGTTTGCAGTTGTGTTGTGTTCAGGCTCATCTGTGGAGGAGAGTTCTGATGGTGGTTAAGAGCTGGCCCATTCAGAGTTTCTTGGGTTGGACGTTGCTGGTGCTGTTTTCGGACATTCTGCTCATTATGCTGCTGTGTATTTAGCATGTGTGGTGAATTGCTTTCAGATGTGGTATTCATGGATGGTGATGCACACTGATGAACAAGTGCAGGGCTCTGGAGAGGACTGCTCTGTGCATGCTGAGCAGTATCAGGTGGATAAGGATTCTTGGAATTCTTATTACTAACATGGAAGTGCAAGGACACAGAAGTGGATCCATTATTTTGAAATTGACCACCTCCTTCTTCCATAACACACTCTGCTCCACTCCCTGACAGTTTTTGTCCAGACACATTTTCCTGAGGTCTTTGAGGGCTGTGCAATACTTCTGCTGGTCCATTGTGGTGTTGAGTGGGGTTTGGAATGGATGGGTGTACTTTGTTAAGTCGACCACTGTGGTCTGATGAAGAAGGCTCTTTGAAAATGTCTTTTACAGTCACTTTGTTTTCTGATGTTCCTGGCAACAACAAAAAATGAAAGTGACATAAACATAAGCAGAAATGCCTCATTGTAGATTATCACTATAATAAAGTCTACAATACCCTTGAGCCTATTTTGTCTAACAAAGAATATGACCCAATTCTGTTATTTCATTCATTACATGAGTAAATTTAGACTTCTAAAGGAAACAACTTATGAAACAGGATTTAATGTATTACATATGGACTTCATGACTGTGAGTTGAGGAAGACAAAGCAAAGATTTGCACAGTAACGCTCAGCTAATGCCAAATCAAAACGTACATTTTCTCATAAAACATAAAAACAATAAAGTTCAATGCTATATTCAGTATTGCTTTACTTTTCCAGAACATGTATACTGTGAAAAATATTTGTTTTAAAAAAAAAAAATTATGGTAGGATGAATGCAAGACACTAAACATAATTTTGTAATATGGCATGTTGATTCCCTTTGACCGAATGAACATGATAGGTAACATTCCATTGAGTTTTGTAATCTAAAAGCAAACATTAAGGTTTTGACTGGGAGAAAGAATTTCAACAGAATAGACATTTTGTGATGACATAAAATGACGCCTAGAGGAGGGCGTGATACAAACAATTTACTGTTATAATAATCAGATTGTTTTTTGGTAACCAGAAGCGGTACAAAAAACAATCAATCAAACAAACAAAAAAATTAAGTTCGATCTACCTTTGTGCTGAATGGCTGTCTGTGAGGAAGACTGGCTGTCTGGCCCATTGTCTCCAGCGGGACATTGCAGCTGAACCTCGGGGGCTGGGGGGGGCTGCTGAGAGGGAGGAGTTGGGATGCTGCCAGTCCCTGAGGGGGACTTGGACTGTTGAAAGTGGCCCATGTCCTCATGGGGGGAACCAGCAGGAGGTCTCGAGAAGGCTGACAGCTGCTGTAGAGCTAGCATTTCTGGACTTTCTAACATGGAGGCTAACCGTGTCTTGGTGGAGGAGTCTGAACAGGTTAGAGGGGGTCGTTGCTGCACAGGGCCAGGGGAGCTGACCGCCGCTGTAGAAATTTGGTATTGTGCATTAGGAGGAGGATGGGGATATCCAGCAGCTTCCGGCCAAGGTTTGTGTCCGATTGGAGGTTGTTCCCCTCCATAACTCAAATTGTGCTGGTTGACCAAACTAGGGTCTTGCATGTGCATTCCACTAGGTCTCTCTGGCCGCTGGTGATTCAAAGTAGTCCAAATGTTAGACAGTCCCATACCAGGAGACCTCAAGCCTGTGTAATTGTGCTGTTGAGGCCCTGATAACTGGTTCCCCATAGGGTGCATCGTGTGTCTCTCTGAACAGTAGTGGGACGGGTATATGCTGGCTTCAGGAGGAGGTCTAAGTTGAAGGGCCATTGGACGGGGGCCCAGAGATGGACCATGAGTTGGACCCATATACGGGTGCTGCTGCTGGTGAAGAGTGTGGTTACCATCGGGGCTCAGTGGATACCTATGGCCCATGTGATGCTGAAAGCAAACCAAAAGTAGAACAGGATTTAAAATAACCTGTATGTGAGAAATTGAACCAATTAGTTGACAAGTCAGTGAAATGCCCGGCCTCCAAGGAGACAGTCTTCATATATGAAAATTGTTGAAGGCAGATGAGCATACCAGTTAGCCTTGCTCGCTGTTTGTTTTAAAAGTCTCACCAGTGGTACCACGGGATACGTGGTGAAGAATGAGGACAACTCCACCTTTGTCTCCAAAATGTCAATACACAGACAAGAACTTTGTGCTAATACTGACTTTATTCATTGTATAAGTGTTTGCGGCAACAACCACCAAATATTTGGCCAAAAATTAAACTTAGCCTCAGGGAATAAAAGGACAAGTGTAAATCCAAACAGTCAAAGAAATGCTTTTTTTTTTTTTTTTTGGCGCCTGCCCCGATATCCTGTCTTACAACACTTGACGTCAGGGTCTGTGTTTAAATACGTTAGTATGAGTTGTAGCCAAAAGCTGCTATGACAATTTAAGTTATTCATTATTAGACATCTCACTGGTATCAATCTTTTAAAGACTACCGGTGATCAGAAAAGCCAAGCTAGCAAAGCTAACACTCTTGTCAGCCACAACTATCTTCTTTTCATAATCTTCAAACGCAATTATCTATGTTCATAATCTCTGACCTATACGTACGTGTAAAGACTGCTTTGCCTTGTAGGCTGGACATTTTGCTGCATCACAGAGTATTATAGTGTGGCAATTGGAGCAGACATGCGAGTCGAAAGACCTCCGTTTGGAACACCCATTACAAGACTCAAAATTAGCAGGTTTGCATTACAATTTGCACAGCAATTTTTGCTATCACAGAGTAATTGAGGGCAGAGAAGGGATGTTATGCTCTGAATGGAGAAAGTGAGCCGGATCACCTTTTCAAATCAGGATTTTCTCCATTGTTTTTTCTATGAAATGAAAAGAAATCGAGTTCCAGAGAACAGATCAGCGAACATCAACAGAGTTCCAGACATTACATGTGATTTTTAAAATTTTTTTTTTAGCAATTTTTATTTTTGGCCAGAATATAAATACAACATGGACACTACATGCTAATGTGTGGCCATCTAATAGATATAATTGGTGCACAAAATACTAATTTGTAGGTTAAATTCACATGAACAGCACTGATCTTTTATCTGGGTAAGCAAATGGCGTACACCTTTGCTGGAGACCTCAGTGCCCGGCATCCTTAAAGACAAGTGTTGTTTAGTAGTTCGTTCTCTTCAATAGCCTGCAATGCCAGCATTTTCACAATTTCTTTGTAGCTTATTACCAGCCTAAAAGAAAATGCAATCTTTCTACAGTAACCCTGTCCAGGCCTTTCTCCCCAACTTACATCTCTACATTCAAATTCGATAGCCACAAATTTTTCAAGAATTTTTCGCACATTTACAATGTTTTTGGGGGGGGGAAAAGTTGTGCAGTTTTCAACTTTAAGCACACTCCAAAGGTCCCTGCACAAAACCTGCTCCTATCAAATTTGCATCAGCTTTGTTATTAAGGTGACGAGCTCAGTGTATGCCCACAACCACAATTACATCATAAGGTCATCAGGGTCCACTTGGCAATATGTGACATGCAGCCAGTGTAGTACTCTAAATGGCTATACACTGTATTTTGTAGGGTTTTGGTGATGTTGAATGAAGGTAATTTGTTTCCCCTCGAGTTGTATTCATTTTAGTTTGAACACTTTCATAACTATTAAACAAACAATATTGTCTTATTCCTTGTTAGCTGTTCTAATCTAATAAGCACACAGCCATGAACCTTCCTGTTTTATTCTCATATGCTAAAATGCTCAGTGCTCAAGTGGTACAAATGATATGACACTTTAATTAATGCCTGATGCTTTTTTTGATGCAAGAAATGCTAAGTATATTTGTGTTTGAAATTTCCCCAATGAAACCATTTATAGACAAGAAAATAGTTTGCTTCGATGCACAACATGAATTTAAGAAATGAAAACTTCACATTACAAAAAGTAAGTCGCTTCATTGCTCATTATCAAGAGAAATGTCTCATTTTCTCTTGTTTTCATAATTGGTCTTCAACCAAGCAAAAATACAATTTATCCGAATACTGACCTCGATTATTCAATAGTGTTCTGTAGGATTCTCGGCTACTACTACATTCAACAGCTGCTCACCCGTTATATTGTCGTATTTTTACTTTTTGATAAAACCTTTGCTTCAGGTTTATCATTCAGTAACTGGGTTTTCCCATAACGTCAGAAAATGCGCAATTGACTTTTTGTTTTGATTATTGTGAAAGCAGATGCTTGATTCAATGACATCATTGATTAATCAACTGTAACTCTATTTTCATGACATGAGTGTCAGCTATAAAAATATCTTTAGTCGTTCAATCCCCCTATATACAGGTAGACTGTATTTTGTTTTAGCAGTAATGTAAAATATACTTTTAATCTGAACGAGCCTAGACAGTCCTGCCTCCCAATTACCATGCCCTTTCAGACAATTTTCCCAAAAACATGGTAAGTTGACAAAACTTTGTACCTGCATGCTAAAGTTGTGGGGCAAACGATTCAAGCTGGGATCTCCATGCCTTGGAATGTGACCTGGGTAGGCAAAACGAGGATCCATGCCCATACTATGAGTGTACATGTGCGGCCCATGAGGACGATGTAACTGGCCAGATGAAAAAGAAATGAAAATGGCAGACTTCGTAAACATGTAAAATTAAATACTGTGACGAATGAAAATATACCCGTTGTGCTGGGTGGTACATGCCCCTGATGTCTCCATGTCGGTGTTGCTGGCTCGAAGGAAAGCTCCAATGAGACTGTGTCAGGGGTCGCACTGGCTTGCTAACCTGGTCCTCCAACAGCCTCTGGCCTTTGCCACCCTGCACACTTCGTTTACGCTGCACCTCCTCGGTGGCCTTGATTAAACTTTCAGGTCCCAAATTTTTCGTGCTTCGATTTCGCTTTTTTTCCTTGCGCTCCTTGTCTTCTTTGCTGATGTAAAATTCTTCATCAGTGTCACCCTCCTCTGACGGCAAGTGTTTTAACTGGGCCCGGTTAAAACAGCGCTCAAGAGACTCTGCCATCACAGTATATTCTGGAAGGGAAGCAGACACAAAAGCGTGGATAATTAACTAAACATTTTTGACAAAATCAGTTCTTGTGCACCACCCAGACTCAAACAAAACAAGCATGTAGCCCATTCAGCCCGACCATAACCTTTTATCTTTACAAAGAAAAATATACAACAGCACACAGATTCTCCTGCATTTAGAATGCATTCAGGCCAACACTGATCATTGCAATAGGTCAGAGGGCAAATGTTGACCCCTGCTCCTCCCATCCTCTCCTATACCGGGGTCCAACGTCACCACTCCCACTTACCCCCATCCCTAGGGGAAGTAGTCCATAGAATGGATAGCTCTAGAAGGGGGGCTTTGGGGCTGGAATGTTTCTCTTGACACCGCAGGGCTCAGTTACTCCTGAGCATTGGAGCACTGCTCAGTCATTCCTCATTAATCACTGTCAAGGCTGCCCTAGCCCTTAGCCCCATTTCAACATTAAGTACATCGCTTTCGTTTGTGCCGTCATACCTAACCATGGTTGACTCTCATGTTGTTCGTGTTTGTGTGGGTATGTGAATAGATGTTTTCATTTACCACTATCTTCTCCGTTGTACTCAATGCAGTTTTTAAAAATGAGCTTCACATCAGAAATAAACTCCTCCTTTGCAAGATATTCTCCATCATTGAGTTTCCTCTCAATGGTGGAAAGGTCCATGGGAGTCTGAGGAGACAAGAAAGATTTTTCAAAAACTTACAAGTTCTCCCATCAAACGATCATTACATTGTTTTTGTACCTGGATTATGTCATGGTAATTGGGAGCATAGGAGTCATCTACAGGTTCCAAGAAAGGCCATGCATCTTTATGAGCCTTCAAGGCTTCCAGCACTAGGAAGGGAGAGTAGAGATCAGAGATGACTAAATGCATTTGCAGACACTAACATTTAGCATCTCTGCAAGTATACCTTTGTACAAACCCGTGTAGTCATCTTCCATGTCAAAGCTGAAAGACAACACAAGCTTATTAACAGTCAAGTTCCATGCAAATTATTCATTTGTAAATTTATAAAAGCCTCATACAAATCTTTAGCAGTCCGTGTTCTGAGTACAGGTGAAGAAGGCTCGAAATTCTTAAGTTGTGGTGGGAGGTCTTTTCCTTCAGACAACAGATAAGCCTTTTCCTCTCGCATCTTCCGTCTCCTGGCCCGCTCTGGGAGACAAAGCGAAGGGGCGGGGGGGGGGAGCGAGAGAGAGAATGAGGCACAGAATGAGTGAGAGACTGTGACAATGAGAGAAAAACAATCAGCATCCGGGCAAAAGAGAGCAAGAGTGCGAGAGCGCTCTCAACATAGGGCCAATCACAGACAAAACTAACAGGACAGAAGCAAAACATATTTAGCCTTTGGCCTCTTGAGTTTGCATGCTAAAAACTAGGTTGCTAAGAGGGTAAATGTTTTTGCCATTTCAATATATGGAGCCCAGATGGAAGAGGAACAATTTTGCGAAGTTGTCTAAGGCAGAGTTGATCAAAAGAGCAAACACAGAGCTAAGAGTGCACATGTATCGCGACTTTCTTGCAACATGAAAGGCATGCCAGCCTTCTGTTGTGTGGATTAAAGACGTTCGAAGGAGGATTCCACATGTGTAATCCATACAGAACAGTCGAGGTCTAGCGCTTCATCTATAAGACATTAATAGAGCTGCTCAACTAGAACACAATCAGCAGTTCATTAACCCTTGACAGATAACAGAGAGAGGCAGATTGATCATGGCGCTGAATTTTGCCTGTTCTAGTCTAAGTCAGTAACACTGCACAATGATACAAATGTTCCTGTGCTTTGGCAGATTTTCAAGTTAATAGACAAACTAAAAGTGGAAGCTGGTCATGTGAAAGCCTGAATGAAGGGTGCATTTGATCTATTTGTTGCAAATATCACGTGATGAAAACTCATCGCGGATGAAAGAATGTGAAATCATTGTTTCAAATTTGCTTCAATTTTATGTTTGGCAACAAGGTTCATTAAAATGAAGACTCATTCCGCAGGTTCCAAAAGTGCATTAACATCTCTGGAAACCTTTTTACATACTAGGTGTGTTCCAATCATCCTACCCTCCACAGCTTTGAGCTTCTCCATTTTCTCTCGCTGTCGTCGTTCCTGCTGAAGCCTTTCTTCTTCTCGTCTCTGCTCAGCCAGCAAGACCTGCCTGTCCAGCTCCTCATCATTTCTCTTCTCAAACTCAGCTGTGGCATTCACATTGTCCTTAATTCAAAGAACAGCAACATCAGAACCTGACAGACATGGTTGCTCTATTAGCTAGTGGACATGCATCAAAACATGACAACGGTTTCACAAATGGATGCTACTCCGTTACTGTCGCAGAAAAAAAATTAAAACCATCACACATGCCTGCTCCTCTTGGTTCATGTGTTTTTCAGAGAAACGCTGAGATGCACGGAATGGGGTTGGATCCTCAAGCTTCAGTTTCTGCTCACGCTCCTGAAACAAGGATTAAAAGTTCAAGATTAGACTATCTGAGGCTTAACGCATACATTTATGATTAAAGCAACATACAGCCCCCAGAGTGAATGAGGTTGTTTTTACTGTGATCAATGACATCATTGAAAGATTGCACAAATCATGTGTTACAGTTAAGCAGCCATTTTGCATGAAATACAAATTAATGATGATCTCAATCTAGATTGGTGTAAAGTCTCATGAACTGAAAGGAAACATTACGACAAAGCATATTGTGCGTTGTAAAAAATATTCCAGTCGGCTTCAAAATGTCGCATCCGACAATGACAGCACAATGAAACAAATATGTGCAGCTGTCGCTTAATGTGATAACCTGACTTCATAACGCTCTCACTACCTTCACACACACACGCACAATGTCTATCAATACAGAATAAGACTGCTGTACAATTTCAGTGTCCCACTAAAATTGAGTCATGCAGGAGTTATGACTTATAAATCTACAAGTTATTCGCTCAAAATGTTTTTGAAAAGGATTCCAACTTAAATATTAATTGTGTTTTCCATTGCATGTTTTGGATGTAGCTACATTTTTACAAAATATCACATTCTGCTCGTTTGCTGATGAATAAATATTTTATATTCAAATCACACTTGCGCCCCCCCCTTTTTACTTTCCTTGGGGCATTACAAAGCATTTGTAAAAATGCTTGAGAATAGTTCTGGTGATACTCAGTAAACAGTACACAATTATACTTCTATTACAAGCTGCCTAGGAACGACAGAGGTTAATGAGCCAACAGATATTATCTGCCATTCTTACATGTAAATGGTCATTACTATACAGTGTTCCCTTTTACATTAAAAATAAACAAAAAACCAAATACATACAGCAAATCAGTTATTTACATAGACATATTGCTCCATCTTGTGATAGGATTGATTATTGTTTCATTCCAATTATTATTATTTTACTTTTTTAACTTGCAGATCAGCCCCAAAAATCCTGATCATGAAAAGCCAAATGAAAATATCAGGAAATGATAAGAAAAACAAGTGATTGAGCCTTCAAGATGGACAGAAAGCCACACAGGCCCCGGGGACTTGGGGTGAAGGAGCTGTGAGTATTGAGAGGTCACAGGCTTTGTCCCTCCCCCAGATCCCCCTTCCCTCTTTTGCTGCCAACATTCCCTCAAATCTCCCTGGGGGTGACAGCCAAGCTTTACCAGACAAAAAGTCAAACCATGTATTCAGTCTAAGGAAAGGGAGTAGACTCCTACTTCAACATGCAGGCTAAAGATGGCTTGTCAAAAACCTGAAATATGAATATGGTGCCCAAAAGAAAAAAAGGTATGAGTACCTGAATTATATGGTCTGCATAAATTTTCTCAGCTGTGCACATAGGGTTCTGCAGTAACAGCAACACAATGGCCTGTGGCCACAAAAGTGAGGTGACAGTGTCAGGCCACCCCAAATTCACTGGCCCGAAGAAATAAAAATCAACATCTTTTTTTAATTTTAAAATTTTATCCACTTAACGCAATTTTGCGTGCCAATTTAAATTATTCGATACGGTATTGCTTGAACAAGATGTAAAGCCCACGTGTCAAATGCTAAAATATTAAATTAAAAATTCTAATATTAAAATATTAACATTAAACTTTATACTGAAAAACACCCATACCATGCAAACAAAGTAACTACATATATAAAGTAATGTTTACTTAAAAGCTGTAATAATGTAGAAAGAACCCAAAAGGGCTTACTGACGTGGCACAGTATTCTTGTTAACTTCCATTTATTTCTTTAACATGAGATTATGGAATTTATGATATTTGACAGCCATGTGTGTGTGTGTGTGTGTGTGTGTATATATATATATATATATATATATGTATATATAATTTTTTTGAAAATATTACCATTTTCTAAATTTTCTCTGATGCAATAGCCTCCTACAACTTTCTATAACCTAATAATTTAACATATGATAAAATAATATATATACTGTATGTAAAGCAAGCATTGGATTGTATTACCCATTCAAGAAGCACAAACAAAATGACCTCCAGCGTAACCACTTAGGCGGAGAGGATCCCGCAGCACAACAAAGCTGTCATTCAAGAGGCTTCATCCTGTTTCAAGGTGAGCCCCTGCCTGCTGTCACTGTACATGAAATGACTGGTGACGGCAAATCAAGACACATGGAGGGCTAGATTCAAAAGGATAAGGACACTGTATTTGACATGTCTGCCCCCCCAACCACACACATTATGCACACACATTCTTTGCACTAAGTATATAAAAAGAAGCACAACTGTGCCTGTCCATGATGTGCATGTTTGCGAGCCTTATCAGCAATCAGGAGCAATTTGTGTCTTCAATCTAGCTGACTGAGAGACACTGTTATATTCACAGACTTTTTATCCCTCGAGCAAAAATTTGTTTAAAAAAAAACAGCAACAACAAAACAACACACAACAACAAATAGCGACAATGCTAAAAATGGTCCTCTTGTTGGTAATAATCCTACACGGGGGAGGGCATTAGGGCCAGCTGGATTTATTCTGAATCACTTGGGAGTCCCAACTAAGAAAGGCTAACGTGAGTGAGCGATTACAATTTTGTTGAGCATTTTATTTTCCAATTAAAACATACGACACATATACAAGTGATAGCAATTAAAGAATGTAATTCTCATAATAAATGCATATGTTTGAAAAGACCACAACTAATTCAAAAGGGAAAAAAAATCTAAGCCTTCAACATGTAACATAATCTTAGAAACAGTACTCTACTGATTTAGTCTTAAAGGGAATACAGTTGTACAAAGAAGGACCGGTTTTAAAAATCAGACGTGGGCATTCCGTCAGACTGACGGAATGATCTGTCAGTGTGTCACAGATAGACAATTGACAGCAAACTTCCCAAAAATGATGCACTAAGCACTGATGGAAGTGGAGTTTCATCAGTCAGTGTAATCATCACTAACTGGGTGAAGTACCGATGGACCTCTCAGTCCGCCACTGACAGACGTCTGCTTCACTGACTACTGATGGAAAGAGCTCAGCCAAATTTATGTGGAGGTGGATAAAAATATAATAATCATGTTCTGCAAATCTAACAACGGAAATCGCAATATTATGGATGATATTACAGTAACATCACAAACATAAGCCTAGCACTATAAAAGGAAAGACGCTTAAATCAACATATTTCTCTTGAGCTAACTATAGGCTGAACTCAAATCAGGAAAACTCCAGGATTCAGTTTCAACAACTCAACACAAGAGCTCGAATCACCAAACGCGTCTAAAGGCGAAAACGGCATCTTCTCTGACTTCTCAATTGAATCTGAGAAGAGTTGCTTCTATTGACTATACTGTCAAACCTCGGTTTTCGAACGTCTCGGTTCTCGACCAATTCGGTTTTTGACCAAAAATTTCGAGTTTTTTATGCCTCGGATGACGAACAAATTTCGGTTCTCGAACAAACTGAGCGCACTTGAATGCACCACTTGACTCCTCTCGCCTTCCTTGGGTAGACGAGGAAGTGACGCTTCCTCGTGTCGCTTTCCATTGTGAGCAGACGTGTTCAATAATGTTTTTTTTTTTTTTTTTTAAAAAGAGCGTGGTTTTGGTTTTCGAACAATTCGGTTTTCGAACAGCCTTCTGGAACGGATTATGGACGAAAACCGAGGTTTGACTGTGTATAGAAGCACTTTGTGCTTCCTATATAGATGGCGGTCTGCTGCAAAGAGATGTAATCCACCAATGAACCAAAAAGCATTGAGTAGAAGAGGGAGAACGAGCAAAATGCTGAGCATTGAAAGGCAGGAGAAGCTACTTTGATTGGATTTTACTCAGGTAAGCCATTTTAAACTTCAAATTAAGGAAGGATTTTAGGAGTTAAAACAGCTGCAGGAAGCCACCAGTTAAAGAGATGTTATGTAAAATGTGAGTGAAATATGTGTGGTTGGGCAGTCACCATATGATGTAGATGTACTGATAAATAATGCATTCCATTTACCATTTTAATAACATTGGATTTTTGATCTGCTAGACCACGGGTGTCAAAGTCAAGACCCGGGGTCCAGATCTGGCCCACCACATTATTTAATGTGGCCCGCAAAAGCAAATCAAACATGGCAACTTCCTTGATGCTTTCTCAAATTTGTACCAAAATTTCAATTTCTCATACGTAATAAATATGCGAAATATTGTCAGCATTGTCTTGTTACCAAGCCCCTTATTACACCAACTTAAATGATCGTTGAATGAACCATTATTCTTGACTTCATTTTATGTTTTCACATTCGTAACAGCCCTCCAGGGGAAACAGTCACTATGATCAGGCCGGCGACAAAAATGAGTTTGACACCCCTGTGCTTGACTTGACTTTTTTTTTTTTTTTGACTGACGGACCGATGAAATCTATTGATGGAAGCGATGACGGAAGCACAGTTAAAATAACGTAATGAAACAAAAAAACGATAACCGATCACCTATCCCAGGGGTCGGCAACCCAAAATGTTGAAAGAGCCATATAGGACAAAAAAAACATGTCTGGAGCCGCAAAAAAATAAAAACCTTCTATAAAACTTACAATGACGGAAACACATGCTGTATGTATGTAGGAGACTGGACTGTCTCAGAATTGTTTGTTATTCATTCCTTTGTTGTGTGCTCACAAACGCCCCCATAGAATTTATTTTGTAATTTCCTCGCTTGATTTTTTGTTTTGGTGCATTATTATTGAAGTGACCATTAATTTCCGTTTTTCAGAGGCTGTCTTTGAACATCTCTCGAGTCAAACGAGAGGAGAGAAGGCACGGAGTCGGACGCAGATGTGTCTTTGTCGAGACTGTTAAAAGCATAAATAAAGTGTACGTTTTAAAAAACCAACACCACAGCTCTCCTTTTTCAGAGCTGCAACATGTATCTATATCTATTTGAGCTATATTAGCCTACTATCAAAATCTTTTTCCATTTTCAAACATTTTAATAAAGCTCCAGGGAGCCACTAGATGTCGCTAAAGAGCCGCATGTGGCTCTGGAGCCGCGTGTTGCCGACCCCGACCTATCTGATCAGACCAATCTATCGAATCTATTTGAACAATTTGTTTAGTTTCTGTACAGTTGACCTCTGCTATTAGCGGGTGTTTGGGACTGGACTGGACCACGTACAGTGGCGTGAAAAAGTATTTGCCCTCTTTCCTGATTTCTGTGTTCTTTGCATATTTATCACACAGATTTTTTTTTTGTTCCTCAAATTGGTATTAAACCTGCATTTTATATTATCTTGGGTAGTCCCTGTATGATATTAAAATTGATTTGATGAACTGAAATGTTTGTCTGTGATAAATATACAAAGAACACAGAAATCAGGAAGGGGGTAAATACTATTTCACAGCACTCTAACTAAAACCAAAATTTGCATATTACTACATTCAGAAAAATAATTAAACCCTAAGAATTCTCCTCAAAATAAATAAATAAATATTAAAAAATACTGGAAAATGAATGAGTCGATAGGCAGATACCTTGGATTAATATTGATGGCTGCACAGAGCTTCCCGGGAATGAACAAGATTCTCTTTGCTGTAATGTCTTATTTTGCCGATCCAATCAATGACTTGATTGATTGATCTACAAATTATTACACGACAAAAGATCACAAAAAAAAATTATCTGCAGACCCGATGCAGCCAATCAGATCTGTGTAGTCTACGAATCCCAACCCTGCCAAAAAAAAAAAAATGCTGTCTTTCATACCAATTTTGTTCAAGTCTTTGTCTTGAAAATTCACCATTTCACATATGTACATAAATTCAGATATGATTCAATTGTCATTGCAATGCTACAGACCTTGTGAAACACTGTACTGTGAACTAATGGTATTGATTCTTTTGGTATCTGACCTTGTGTTCAATCATGTTGCGTATCTCAGGCAGAAAATTCTGGCTGATGACCCGGTAGAGGTGGCGGTCTTGGGGTGAGAGCTTATCCTTTATGCTTTCTGCCAAGTTAACCCACTGTTCTTCTGTCTCGCACACAAGGGACCAGGTGCCTCGCTTACGACCTACTAGAAGCCAAAAGCACAAAGGCATTTGAGCCACACGTAGGTGTTGGTTAAACAGGTACCAAAAAAAGCAACAAGTACATAGCTGTTAATGTACTGTACGTATACATACCTTTAGCAGGAGGTATATCATCCATTCCATTTTCTGCATTCTCTTCACTTTCTGCCTCACTACAAAGACATACAAATATGAAACAGCAAGTTCTGAAATAGTAAAGTATATCAAAACAGTAATTGTACAAATCAATCATTGAGCAATTCACTCCTTTTCAAAACAATCATGGCATCCAACTATTCCCACATGTGGGATGTTCCAAACAAGTGTTCGATGAAATTCCTCAACTTTGTCTTTTTTCCACCTGTCCCAGTTTTTTGGGCACATGCCATAAATTACAAAAGTATTGATTATTTGTGAAAAACAATGAAGTGTATCCATTAGAACATCAAATATATTGTCTTTTTAATGTATTCAATTAAATATAGGTTGAACATGATTTGCAAATCATTGTATTCTGTTTTTATTTATGTTTAACACAACGGCCCAACTTCATTGGAATTCGGTTCGTTCATATACAGATACATATTAACACGGACAACAACAAAAACAAAAAATTCACCTTAGGTCAGGGTCTTCAACTCTTTTTTTCTTCGGTGGTCTTCCTCTTTTCTTTTTCTCTGGCAATGTTAACTCAGGATTTTCACTGTAAGAGAGGTAGCATCAACTGAATGTAATCCTTAAAAAGCCTAACTCCCAATATGACCAATTACCAAATATGTAATATAACATCGGAATGTTTCTGAACAAATTATGTCTTTTCGATAAGGAATCAGGAGAATAAAGAGAGGTGTTTACCTGATTTTCTCCACTTCTCTCATGAGTACCTCCTCTTTGTACATACGAGTGCCATAAAAATACCAGTAGAGAGCCCCATTTCCATCTTGCCCAAGGGGTTCTACCCTCAGACTGTCTGCATCCAGTCCCTGATGGCAGCAAAGGACACCATCACTTCACTCAATTCTAGATGTCATTCAGTCCGTTCAGCCTTTTACAGTGGTGGATCATAATGCAGGTGTGAGACAGCATGCTGATAAGGAACTTTTCCCACATGCTGACCACTGCCACCTCAAAAATGTCAGACGATATCACATTCTTCCCAAGTAGAAATAATGCTACAAGTTTCAAGAAGGAACTGGTCGAAAGGGGTAAATTAATATGTAATGATTTGACTTTGAATGTCAATATCTGCATTTACACGCATGGACAAAAGTAGAGGTAAAACCCTTGGTAATGAAAGCATTATTCACTGTGGTTCCTGTAAGAACATGAATCTGACACACACAATGATATAGACAAATTAATATGAATCAACCAATGAAAATCAGATCTTGCTTTGGAACTGTGGTGCAACAGAATTATTTTGAGTGGAAAAAATGTGTGCTGGCTCGTTTGGGGAAGCGTAGGTCGGTAGCTAGCTATGTGGTGGCCTAACAGTCCCATAGTGACCCCGCCACCTCCGCCTTCTGTATTTGTGCGTCTTGGGAGACCTGACATGCTGTGCTCCAGCCCCTCTTGACACAAGGTTGGAGGGCTTTCGCAGTATTTTTTTTTCTATCCAAGTTCCTTGGCTGGAAAATTATTGTACCACTTAATTTTTGCCGGCTGAATATCACGGTTCGTTACTGTTACTTGGTGCAACACTAATGTGGACTGTTGAACAACTGAAGGTATTCATCAAGCAAAAATGTGAAAGAACTCCATGTACTAAGCCTCAACAAATACCGGTAGTGCCCGCAGGTCTTCAACACTTGCTGAGTGCTGTGATTTAACGAGGGTAAATGTGCCCTTATTACATATTTGGGGGTGGGGGGGGCATTAAAGATCTTTTTTTTGTAGTCTATTCAATTGAATATAGTTTGAAAATAATTGTATTCTATTTGTATTTACATTTTAGACAAATTCATTGGAATTGGGGTTATATATTCTGATTGAGTTGATCCAAACACCAGGGAATGTGCACCTTTAGGAAAGTCAAATATAAATGACTTTTTTTCGGCATCTTAATATGCTACATTTTCTTCATTCTAATTACCTAAAACCTACCTTATATTCCACTCAATCTAACTTAAATTGACTTTAATTCTTGTCAGCTGTTTTGATACAATTGGACAAGGTGGCACTTTTAAGACCCTACAACAACATATTGCATTAACAAGGATGAAACTCAAATGTTGGACTTTACAACGGTATCCTGAAAAATGTAGTGTACCTTCAATAGGTCAAAGACATCAGCAGCATCCAGACGATAATCGCAGAGACGGTGCAGCAGTTCCACCTGAGTGCGAGGGGGCAAGTTTTCAAAGGGCTCCTCTCGAAGTGGGTTGGGCTTCCCCTCTTCTAGCTCCCACCGGTAGCTGATGATGTCATCCAGATAGCTGGTGACTACCTGGGGACTAAAGTGCTGAATGGTGAATATGCATTTTGTTGTTGTTTTTCTCAGAAAATGCTCGCTCTAATGTTGTGTAACATCGGGTCTGAGTCACCAGTAGTCTTCTGCACAGCAATTGTACAACACTAAGATAAAAACAATCAAATGGTGCCTTATATTTATCAAAAAACAGAATAAAGCGGCCGTGGGAAATGCTTTTCCAAAGCCTTCCAGCATATTGTGACATACAAAGACTCCAAGACTGTTCCCATTCATTTGATTAAGCTAAAGTCTTTTCAGCCTTTTAAAAATCAATTTCACTTTATAGCCTTTTCATAATTTCAGAAAACTACTTTTTATTTCTTTCCTCAACTATTAAAATGTTTTTAAATCTTTTGGTTGCAAATGTCTTTTATATAGTATATACAATCATACTTTTAGTCATTTAATAGGCTACTTTTGTTCTCTCTGCGGGGCGGCACGGTGGTCAACTGGTTAGCACTCCGTCCTTCCTGTGTGGAATTTGCATGTTCTCCCTGTGCCTGCTTGGGTTTTCTCCGGGTACTCCGGTTTCCTCCCACGTTCCAAAAACACGCATGGCATGTTAATGTAATACTAAATTGTCCTTAGGTGTGAAAATAAAGAAATATGTCATGGAATGAGCACTGGAAAAAAAAATCCTGGCTAATGCAAATGACCTATTCTACAGCCCATACTGCTTTTTCCACGAATAAAGCTCAACTTGTGCCATTAGAGACATGATGGTAATTTTGAGAGATCGTTTCACACCTTGGATTTTCTGCCCATATGAGCTTATTTGTGGGCATTTTTAAATTATACCTGTCAGCTAATCGAAGAAGGAGTAGCCTGAGCAGCAGGTAAAATAAAAGAATCGATTGGAGCTGTGAACATTTGCCCGATGCAGCCGAAGATGGGGAAAGCTGTCTTTTCTGGGTGAGTACTGACATAATGGACAGGTTGAGTATATTCCTTGAAACTCTGAGGAATTGCCAAGATCCCAAAAGTCATACATCACTGAAATTTCATGCCAGTGATTCAACGGAACGACGTACCTATACACCTGTATATTTAAAAGTGTGGGTTTCCTTAAATTCTCTGAGTGATACATTTGGTTTTTGTACGTCTGTAATATGTTTTCCTCTTGCACGAACAAAGCACAAATATTTTAAACGCATGAAATAACACACATCACATCCATCTCCTCCTTGCTTTTCCCCTAATGAAGTGTCGTACCCACCCGCTCACCATTTGCAGCTACCCAAAAAATAAATAAATAAATAAAGACAGAAAGAAAGAAAGAGAGAGAGACAGAGAGTTGTGCAGATGTTTGCTTTGTTTGTGGTTGTTAAAATTATCAATGTGACTAAGTGCCGCCATGTTGGGGGAATTTTATAAAAACAAAAATTTTGCAATTTGCACTTCTGAACGCATTGAAAATCCCCCTTGACAGATCAATTCACAAACAAACAAACAAACAAATAAATAAAAACCCAGCCTATTTTGGGAAAACTGTTAAGTTGATGGAAAAATATTTTCGCCATGAGTAGCTACTCTTTCTCCAAATTGGACCAGTAAATGGTACGGGTTAGGCATAGCCGATTAATCGTTACCTTTTAGTTCCAACTCAGAAGAAGAGAACAAGAGGGGTTTTGAGCATCTAGGCAACATAGAGAAAGAGGACCAGAAAAAAAATGGCTTATCTTGAAAGAGCAGCGTGCACTTCTCACACAGCTGTAGGGTCCCCTCCTCACTAACCCCATCTCGCTCTTCCTTTCTGTCTCTTGTTCTCGGCAAAAGCCTTCCTCCCACCTTCCCCCTCTCCGGCCGAGCATTTAACACGTGCAGATGAAAAGGGCAGCTCTGTGAAAGGCCAGTGGTGAGCAGCCACCCCCAGTATGCCAGCGCCTGTCCAGTCCAATAAAGCAGGTTGTCCTACTGATGTTGGTTGCCTGGGTGGAGAACTGGCTCATTCTTGCCTCTGTTTATCAGTCCGCTGGGACCACTATGCCGCTTGCCAATCTTGAGCAGACAGTATAAGATGGAGAACCTTCATCTAGGGAGTAACACTAAATGTGTTGGAGGGGTACTCTCTGCCAATCACCTTCCATATTTAAAAATATACATGCTATTTCTATAATTCCAGTAAGGTTACGATGTAATTCTGTAATTAAAAAATTGGATTTGTTTTTGGCTTCCTCAACAAATGTATAACTGGATACCGGAGACCACGTTTGCGTTTAAAACAGTGGTTCTTTAACCTGGGTTCGATCGAACCCTAGGGGTTCGGTGAATCGGTCTCAGGGGTTCGACGGAGCCTCTGCCATGGAGGTTAAGACATACCTGACTCAACATGTTAATTAGTTATGACACACCCACTTGGCCATTACTGGCTGCAGATGATCACATTACATTGCTTGTCCTGTCAGTGCTGCAGGAAATTTAGTTCGCTCAGTAGTCAACGTGTGACTGTCGTGATATGTCGTAAAAATTTAAAAAAAAAAAAAAAAACCTTATACTTATGTCTTGAGATGTTATTTACTTTTTTCTGTTTTTAATACTTGCATTTTTTTATGCCTTGAATTTGTAAAAATTCATATTTTAGTTTTTCAAAAATGAAGGGTTCGGTGAATGCGAATATGAACTGGCTGGGTTCGGTACCTCTAACAAGGTTAAGAATCACTGGTTTAAAACAAAAGCCAAAACCTTACCTTCATAATACAAAATAGAAGAATGAGATGGCTAGTTTAAAAATCCCTTTAAAGATAAGTATCACTTCTATCAGGTCTTAACTTACGTAATGTCAGTGCGCTGGTAACATCCCTGCAGCAGACAAGCAATAAGGTCCCCAAGGAAGTTCAGGTCCTGCTCTGAAAGCGCTTTCTCCAATTCCTTGACACACAGCAAAGACATAAAATTAGCAATCCACTGTATGTTGCTCGCAAACACATATTTGGACCACATACAGCGCATGGGACACTCAGAAAGTTTATTGGTAACTGGGGAGTAAGGTTTGGGGTACGGGGGTGGGTGGCTGTCACTTGATTGGACTGTACCAAAAATAGACACGCTGTTCTGAAAAATCACCACTTTTCCCAAAATGTCTGATGGCAATCACACCCCTCCTATCTTCAGGGGGGGAGTCATCGTGAGAGTCGAACCAAACTTACAAGTATTTTGTTCCAAATGGTAATTCTGTCCTTGAGCCATATTTAGAGCGCTCCTGTTACCAAAGCCCTGAGTGTCTTAAAACACTTAATATCAGTAAACCACAGTAAATCAAACACGAACACAAAACATTTTCAAGATATGGACACCCACAATGTAAAAAATAAATAAATAAATAAATAAATAAATAATAATAATAATAATAAATAAAATCTACTTTAACGGTTAATATCTATCCAAAAAAAAAAAAAAAAAGTACACGTTACTTTTAAGTGCAGATTTTGATACACAGGGCCAGAATATAAAGCTATTTCAATTTTCAGGTCTTACAGGGCCTCCAAATATGGTCCAAAATTTTGTGTGCGATTTCTGCATCCCAAAAGTGACCGTGCCACTCAAACTTTGACGGGCCATAATTCAAAAACCGTTTGAGCTTCCAGGCTCAACTGTAGAATTCTTTCAGTTGACGCACCAATAATGTAAACGTCAGGAAAATTTAAGAGGCGTCGCTGGGGAGGAAGTGTGACTTGACATGGAATGACCCTTCACATTAATGATCAATAAGACTCAAAGATAGTGGGGTCAGTAGTTTATCTATACAGCATATGAATCATGAGTTAAGCTGTCACATTCATGACTACAAGCAAAACCAGGCTATTCATATCCACAGTGGGACAAACACTGAAAGTTGTGACAAGACTAATGCCAAAAGGTGTGTTGCCATTTAACCTCTTTTGTATGGTTGTTTCTAAAGAACAAGTCAGCCTGAAAGTATTCTTTCACTGAACTCACTTAACTCCACTGCTGACTCCTCTATGGCTTCATTGGTTAGGAAAAAACAAACAAAAAAAATTCTAATTTTATTTGGCATTTCCACTCCATTCTTTCCTCCTCAGTGCTCAGCAGTCCAGCATCTGAGAGTCCTCTCTGAGCTACTTCATAAAAATGTCTTGCTATATGATCAAACTTTGAGTCCAATGTGCACACATAATTAAGACAGACACTGGATTCATAGTTGTTCATATACCATGCCTACTGAATGCACAAGTTATTTGGTAGAGAAAATAAATAAATAATTAAAACAAGTCACGCTGTTTCCACAAAATAATGGGGTTTATTATCTGGCGATCACCTAAGAAACCTGCTTGCTGTTTGTTAATCTGCTTGTACACACAACTCACTTATACGACGACAATGCTAGTTATAAGAAGAGCCGCTGCTTGCTGGTGCATATGATCTGATTAATTGAGTAATCAGGACTAATGGTGATTTGTCAACTGGCAAAATAATCCTTTGTGGAAGCCCTACTTAGCATTAGCCAACGTTTTACCACAACCACCAGCCACCTGATTGACTAGTGAGGTTCAAGCTTTTGTTTTTTCTGTCAGAGGACAAGGGGGAACACTTTGTCTTCGTTGGAGAGTCGCTCATAGCAACGCCCCCATAGTTACTTCAAGAACAAAGCAACATTTCGTGTTGGTTGTAAATGTAGCATAAATATCAAAGTGTTTATCTTTCATCCAAATTCAAAGCACAACAGCAGGGCGCCACATTAACTTTTGCATTGTGGCTACCAGTTTTTCAGTTGGTTGCGCCTTTTTTTGGGGGGGGAGGGGGGGTAGAGCATGACCATATTAGTCAATTTATTGTCATCTCATGTGGCACACCGAAGTTTCATTTGATGTCAAGATTGACGCAATATATCCACCCAAAAATTTTCTAATTCGCTTTTCCCCACGAATGTCGGGGCCGTTCTGGAGCCTATCCCAGCTGTCTTCGGGCAGTAGCAGGGGTACACCTGAACTGATTGCCAACCAATCGCAGGGCATATAGAGACAAACAACCATTTCAGCTCACAATCACACCGAGGGACAATTGAGAGTGTTCCATTAACCTGCTATGCATGTTTTTGGAATGTGGAAGGTAACCGGAGTACCCAGAGTAAACCCACGCAGGCACGGGAAGCACATGCAAACTCCACACAGGAAGGGGATGAAGTACTGCAAATATACTCCCATGTCAAAAGTAATTTAGTGTTCTTCAAGACTGGTTATGTTAACATAAAGGATCCCACATCATGGTGTACCCAAGCACCATCCCTCACCTAAACTTCAAAAAATAAAATAAAGATACCGCTGCTGTGTACTTAGTGTGTGAAAGAAAAATGAAGCTATGACCTGATCATGTCTCACACCGTATGTGGCGAGACAGAAAAACAAAAGAGAACATTCAATCGGCCCTGAAAGAGCATTTGTATGAGCATCCTCAAAGGTGCAGCACATCCACAAATCCGAGTAGTATTGGGGGAGTTGGCCTCTCTGGTTACCTTAACAGCAGACAGTTTCCATGTCACTGCCGTTGACAGCTCAACTGGAGTTCCTATCAGTAATAGTTGGTGTGTGAAGGGGATATTGTGAGCGGGTTGTCTGTTTGTTGTAAGGGTCGTCTATTACCGTGCTTTGATTGCTTTCTTTCTCTCCACCATGTCCCATTCACTTCACATGGTTCCTGCTAGAATCATCACCTGACAAAACCTCCACCCCCACATGAAAGTGCATGACAGACATGCATGCACATCCATAAAACCACAGGAAAGTGTTTCTCCCTCACGTCCTCAGGATATAACATTCCTTCATACAGAGGTGAAGCATCCCTATTGTGTCGCTGCTGAGAGACAATGACTCAAGCCTTAAAGCGTGGTTTGATTGCGTGAGTGGTCACTCCCACTTGAAAATATATCTGGCAAAGCCACTTCTACACCTCTGGGGTGAGCATGGTGAGACCCGCAATGTGTAACACCATTTGCTCATGAAAAAGTCAGAGAATAATATGAGGTAATATCGGGGTGTGTCAATAGCCACTTTTACACTATCTGTCAAAGGTGGGTTTTTTTCTAAACAGATGACATGGAATGGACAATTTCCTGCCTTAGCATGTGGTACCAGAACCATATCAAAGACGGGACAGCACCCGTGTTGAATGAATTACTGAAAAGTCATAGTGTTAATGTGAAGTTTAAGACCTGGCACTCATTTTTTCTAACTTGTTCCAGCAAACTTGTTGCACACATCACACCAGCAATGCTGCTGACTTCCGCAAATGTGTTTTATTGTGTCTGTATCTTTATCATTTTGCTGTTTTGGTCCACACGGGGCTGGTGTTTTAAGCCCGAAAACAATAATTTTTTCAAACCGGATCCTAGAGTGAATCTCAAATTGCTCCTTACATTTCCTTTTGTAAAACATTCCTTACGTGTTTATTTCAGTTTAAAATCAACACATTTTTACACTGTTCCTTTGAAATATCCATCCATCCATTTTTTTATCCGCTTATCCTCACAATGGTCGCGGGCGTGCTGAAGCCTATCCCAGCTGTCTTCAGGCAGTAAGCGGGGGACACCCTGAACCAATTGCCAGTCAATTGCAGGGCACACATAGACGAACAACCATTCGCGCACACACATAGGGACAATGTAGAGTGTACCACTAACATGCATATTTTTGGAATGTGAGAGGAAACCGGAGTGCCCAAAAGAAACCCACGCAGGCACGGGGAGAACATGCAAACTCCACAGAGGAAGGCCGGAGCCAGAATCAAAACCACAACCTCGCTCGGCACTATGCTGCCCTCCTTTGATATGTACAAATTAAAAACAATTAAGATGATGGCACATTCAACTTTTATTAAACTCTGCTGCTTGTATCAGCAGTCCTGATACGTTTATAAATGCCGGTGCAACTTAAATTGAATGCGATAGAGTGGCCTTAAAATTTTTAGTTGAAAATGTTTAGTGCATTTTAAAATGGAGCCAAAATCTATACACTATGAAGAGTTGCACTAATAAAATGAAACTACTACTGTAGTATCTATAAATAGAATAATACTTGTAAACGCATCACTCTTCTTGGGCACCAAACATTATTGATTTAATCATTTTAATGTAAAAGGTAGTGAAATTAGTGAAAATCTATAAAATCCCAAAAGATTAGGAGGAAATTGGAACATAGATATTTTCAGCATATTCTAAAACTTATGTAACATTTTATCTTAACATTTTAAACAAATCTCTCCCCATTGATGTTATCAATCGTGATTTTGCTGGCTTCGGCGACACATTTGAGTAAGCCCTGTTTGTGAAAGAAGTCACCAGTGATAATGACCACTGTCAGGCTGTCAGTGTCAGAATGTGCAGAGTCATTAAACTGCTTTTGAAAAGTAATCCGAACACACTCAGCAGGAGGGGACTTGCTGCTCACGCTGCTAGCCACTGCCTCCTTTCAGCTGAGGTGGTGACGTCTGCTGTCATTTCTGGTCTTAAGTACCTGTCTGTTATTCTGCATTACTTTCTCCCCAGTGACTGAGTTGTGTAATATTTTGCTGTTCAAAGTTAGTTACTCTCCACTGTAATGCGTTTCCAGCCAGACATGTGACTAGAACACTGTCACACAAACACTTATTTTGGTGAATTGCGACCGCATTTTGAGAGTTTAGCAATAAGTGTGGCTTCCCATCTTTCTAAGCATCTTCCCTTCATTTTTGTGCTAACGCTATTTACAGGGGTGTAGATTTTTTGCTGCTGTGGAGGCAATGATTAGGGACGTATGCTAAGTATATATCGAATTCAAAGCGAGCTTTTGCCTACGCATCATGTTTAGCCACGTTAACTATCCAGCCACAGCTCGTATGTCACGGTGCTTCAACAAATAGTGTGCAAGAAGCATCTA